TTTATATTTCCGACTATTACAGCCAAGGGAATGACCAAGGTAATAGTACAAAATTGGCTAATTATTATATTTTATTGTCAGAGGACTGTTACATACAGACTCCCACGCTGTGCTCAAATTATAAATAAAATGTTGTCCAACAACGAGAAGTCCTTGGTGTAGAAACTAGCTCATAATTATTGAAATTACAGCTTAATTGTACCCATTTTTTATTCCCTATCTATTATAATAAGGCATATTATTTTAGATTCCTTGATCTGTAGTAAACAAGCAGATTTTCAAACAAAAAAAAAATATCTATCATAACTATATTTTTTCCAAAATGTTCCCACATTTCAAGGTATGTATGGCAATCTGAGGGGAAGTTATTATAAAGTAACCTTGGACATTGCCAAGCCTTGTCAACTGGTCACTGGCCCATTGCCTCCGTGTCCCACACTGGAAACTACGAGGGGCATTCATGTCAAACCCGGGACGTTTGAGTTTATATAATAAAAGAACAAATTTCAAGGAGTGGAAACTGCATTTATTTTTTGATACACTTATCCCCGCGTTTAACCTCCCAAGCGGTCTGATTATGTCCATATTTCTGTGCTGAAAGCGGTACATTTTTTTACATGGAAATATGTTGTTTTTTTATTGTAGGCCTGTAATTTTTAGGAATAACTCACTGAAATCTGTCCGAACAAGAGTCTAGTAAACATCCCGGGGATGATAAAATTTGAAACACAAAATCATAAATTATAATTTAATAAATAATCATAAAAAATAATAATATAATAATAAATTTAATTCAATAATATAATCAAACCAAAAACACTGAAATGTGAAATAGAGCGCCAAGTTCGCACATCACTGAGCTCAGTCGCAGAATCGTTTTCAGTGTCTGATGATGAATTTCCCCCACGAATCATTATCACTCAATTCTGCAAGTGGTTCTGATTTACTATCGCTGTTCTCTAGCCGGTCTAAAACCGCTTTTGACCTAAAGGGACGCTTTTTGGACGCCATGGACGTTTCTCAGTTTCCAGGCAGAAAGAACAGTAAAAATGCAGGCAGAGCGCCTGCCCTGACTTGTATCTTAGTGCAGACTTCTGGGAAAATTAGTCAGCTTAACACACAAGCAGGAAATGACTTATGGGGGCATTCTGTACACCATCTTTGTATAGAATGCATCCAGGTAGCCATACTGCATAGCAACGTGACTTGTGCAGCAATTGTATGTGCTATATTTTTTTTTAACTATTTTTTCCCCACAAAAGTGGAGCTACTCTTTAATTACTGTGCCACAGAGTGCAGGGGTCAGGAATTCATAGCACAGAGATTGCAGGGCTCAGGAGTGCAGATCACAAAGGGTGCAGGGGTCAGTAGTTCATAACTCGCAGAGGAGTGGGGTCATGCAGAGAGTGCAGAGCTCAGGAATACATAGTGCAAGGGATGCAGAATTCAGGAGTATATGTCACACAGAGTGAAGGGTCAGGAGTGGCTGTAGCACAGAGTGCAGGGGTCAGGAATGGAAGACTCCAACGCATTCCTTTGTAAACTGAAGTAACTGCGCCCACTCCACCAGTCCAGTATACCTCTGTTACCTCACCCCCAGTAATAGAATGGGGTCCAGCCAAGAACATAGCATAGAGCTAATGCATGCTCACTGTTAATTCCCTGTAGCCAGGCCATAGATCTCCATAGCGCTGGTCTGCTCCTGGTTGGTATGGGGGATGGGGGATGGACCGGGAGGGAGCTAAACAATGATCCCCTCACTACCGGAGGACCTGCCAGCTTACCAGGTGCCACACCTACCACTGGTTGCTTCTGTCTCAAACTTGTGCTTGGTAACTCTTTGTAACTGCATTGGTCTTCCTTGTCTTGCCTAGTTAACCCCTTGTGTAACGATGTGTTACTTCATAACCCATTATGCTATACAGACCCTGTTTTTTAGATACACCAGAACCTATAGGCACCCTTTGAATAACTTCAGAGCAGGCTCAGAGCAAACAGTTAATGTAACCTTTGCTGGAAGAACTTGACAGTACAGTTCAATATGAACAGTCTCCACTTCCCTATGTTAACTACCAAAGAGTGGCTGCCCAGGCATACCTCTGGCAGGTGAAAGTCCATATAGGTGAAGTCCATTTCTGGGGTTTTCTGGAATTCTCTGCCATGCAGCAGTCCCTCCTCACGCTTGAATCCAAGTAGAAATGGCTCTTTCGGGACTCAGCCTTCCCCCTTTTTATATCACAGGTGGGCGGGCTGAGAGCCAAAAGCCTGGGAACTTAGAAATAATAGCTTAACCCCTTCCTCCCCTGGGTCAGCCACTAACTTCCTAAGCAGTTCCCACCTGCTTACAGCCATAGCACTCTAGAACTATGACGATGCCACCCTAAAATGGATTAGACATCTCATGGCTATATATTTTACCACTCCCTTGTCCCCCCTTTCCCAACATCTTTAACAGGAAGCTTTGGACATAAACTAATCAGCTTCCAGTCTAAGTCCAGTCATTTTATATGAATGGACTTTCAGAGACGCATATATTAAGGATGTTTGGAAACACACACCACACATAGAAGGTCATAGGGGAGCCTTCAACCCAACCTTGAGTTCACCTTATTGGTGGACAGCAGGGGCGGACTGACAACTCATGGGGCCCCCGGGCAATAGGGGATCATGGGGCCCCTGTGTCCTTGCCCAAACTCAAAAAAGCCTAGAAAAAGGTACTAGGGACATCTCATGGGGCCCCCTACTGACCCCGGGCCCTCGGGCAGTGCCCGAGTTTCCAAATGGTCAGTCCGCCCCTGGTGGACAGTGTTCACTGTCATGAGCTGTAGACTGCCTTAACTAAAGTTAACCCAAACATATGAACCAAAACAGAAAATCCTATATCTTTTCTTGCACTTTTCTTTTACTGCCAGAGAAAGCTGCTGTCATCCTGTTTTAAAATTTCAGCTCAAATTTAAGTTTACAGGTATATTCATAAAGGACAAACAGATTTAGAGAGCTATGTTTGATACATACAATTTCCACGTCTCTGCATCAGTCATGACATTTACCCTACAAAACAGATAGAACCTCTGATGTAATAAGAGAAAAGAAAAGCAAAGCAAAAAACAGCATAAAAATTATTTTATTTAAGTCATTTTTTATTTACAGGTGGGGCCTGATAGGCTATTTCAACTCCTAGATATTCTTGGATATCCCAAGAGTAAAATCTCCTGGTCTTTATTCCCGACTAGGGATAAGCTGTAGGTGAGGTTTGAACCAAGGTTCTGACCAGGGGTGGACTGAAAACTCATGGACCCCCCTGGGCAATAGGGGATCATGGGGCCCCTGTGTCCTTGCCCAAACTCAAAAAAGTCTATGAAAAAGGTACCAGGGGCATCTCATGGGGCCCCCTACAGACCCCAGGCCCTCGGGCAGTGCCCGAGTTTCCAAATGGTCAGTCCGCCCTTGGTTCTGACCAAATGTTGGCTGTTCCAGTGTCCAGGCGATTGCCCAAACTATTGTGTGTTGACCCCCTGTTTGACAGGAGCTGTGCATCATATATCCACTTAAGGAACGCCCACCCACAATGTACTGCGGACGGGTGGCCCGAGCAGGCATAGCGATGTACTGCTGCATCTGGATTAGGGCACGCAAAAAATAAAAAACCCAGTGGTGATCAAATACCACCAAAAGAAAGTTCTATTTGTGTGAAAAAATTATATAAATTTAATTTGGGTGCAGCGTTGCATGCCAGCGCAATTACCAGTTAAAGTAGCACAGTACTGATTAGCAAAAAATGTCCTGGTCATGATGAGGGCAAAACCTTCTGGAGCTGAAGTAGATATTGAAGTGGTATTTCTATGGGTTCTATATATGACAGCTTCCCACTCTGATTGGTACCTAGAAACCACTGACATCACCACAAATTCCCACCCCTTTTATTAGCAAAGGGCCAGGATAACACTGAAATCACTGCCCAAATATGGCTACTGGCCATATATTGGATGTCTTTCTTTCTAGGTTACAATTCTTTTTTATAACTATGTACCCTATATTCATTCACATGTGGAATGGTGGAAGATTTTATTTTTTGCATGGTGAGAGAGAGACAAGTTGGAGTCAGATTGGAGATTTGAACAATTTTATGCGCAAAAATTTAAGGGCTTGACCAACTTCATCCTTTGTTGAGAGCATAAGGAGAACAAAATACATGAAATATTTCCTGGGACTGTAAAATTTACAATTTGTGGACACTAGTTTTTGGTGCTGGATTTTTATATTATATAGATCCTCAGAGATGTCTATGTGCGTTTTTTTTTTTTTGACAAGGAAGCTGTCCTTTGCCACCAATTGTGAACACGTTATTTATCAGAGATGTGCCCCATCACAGGCAGGATTAGGACACCCCAAGCATGTTATTTAAAGGAACTGGAAAGTTTTATTGTTTTACTTTAAGTATGTAAAAAAAAAAAAAAACACTGCTCCCGGCAGAATGGAATTTAAACTTTTCTGCATTGGTGCATGTTCTCCAGGGCGCCATCATGCCCCCATCATGCTATTTTTGATACCCCATGCCTAATAGTCCAGAAAATTGGATTTTTTAATTTGACAAATTTGTCTTCCATTGATTTCAATTAGGGTTCAGGTTTGGCATTCAAACTTCTATGAAGTTTGCTGAATCCTGCTTAAACCAAATCAAGGACAGTGCAGCTCATTGCTATTCCCGACTACTGTCCACAGTGTTTTGTATGATCTTGCCCACTTTTGTATGCTCCAGCTCTTCCTTATACATTCCCTAAAATGTTATACAAAACAATCCAGCAAGGATTGTGGTAGCCCACTCATATTGGGCACAGAAGATGTGTCTGGGAACTCTAAGCAGAGATCTCATCAACAGCATCCCCAAAAGATAGAAGATGGAGATTAACGCTCCATCTATCAAAAACTCAAAACCAGTGGACTGGCTCTTTATATGGACACTTTCTTGATAAAAGTAGTTTGAAAAATCTCTATTTCAGTCAGCATGAGCCCAGAATGTGAACATATTTTATAATGGCCCCTCTAATATCCTGGTTCCTCAAGCTGTAGATCAGAGGGTTGAAAAGTGGAGTCAAAAAGATATATATCAAAGACAGGTACTTGTTAGTGTTGGAGGAACTGATTTTTGGTGAAAAAATATATACAGTCCCCAAGCTTCCAAAGTAAAGACAGACTACGATTAGGTGGGAGCTACAAGTAGAGAAGGCCTTCTGTCTCCTGATGGAGGAGGACATCTTCAGGATGGTGTGGAAGATGAAAATATAGGTGGCAACAATAAACACAAATGGACAGAAAACAAGAGGAACAGACAACATGGAAGTAACCAGCTTAGCAGAAGAAATATCTGAACATGAAAGTTCTAAAACAGGAGGGACATCACAGTAGAAATGGTTGATGACGTTTGGGCCACAGAATTCTAACCTATATAAGAAAATATATAGTACAAAGGATAGCATAAATCCCATTGACCAACATATAGAGACAATCTGAAGTTGAAGTCTAGATGTCATAATAAGAATATATTGTAATGGCTTACAAATGGCCACGTATCGGTCAAATGACAAGGAGATTAAAAGCAGACATTGAGTGATTCCGCATACCGCGATCAGACAAAAATTTAGAAGACATCTGGTGATGGGTATTTTTCCACCACCTGCCAATGTCAACCATAACATAATGGGCTGAATATTGCTGGTGAAGAGGATCTCAGACAAGGACAGCTGGCTCAGAAAGACATACATGGGAGAATGAAGGTTCTTGCTGACAATAACGAAGATGATGACAAGGGAGTTTGCTGTCAGAGCCATGATGTAAATGACCAGAAGGAGGACAAATAGTAAGATTTTGAGATCATGAAGGTCCCCGAATCCTAAGAGGAGAAATTCTGTGATCGATGTTTGATTCTTCTTGTTCATCACCTGTAGATCACAAGATAATAGGACTTAAAGTGCAACAAAAGGCGAAACTTTTTTTTTTCATGTTGGATATAGTAAGGGAAGGTTATAATCCCTGTAAGGTGTATTTTGCTACCTGTGTCCCATTGGGAAGATTCCCTTCACGTCCTGCCCAATAGCCACAACAGGAAATGAATGAAAATCCCTCTGTGCTTGTCCCCAGGGTCATCAGAACTAGTGTCCCTATTGGAAAGCACCCTACTATAACTGTTTTTGGGACAACCAATTTTCTTTTACTTCACTATTGGCAATAATGGTAACAGAACTAATAGAAAGGGTGAATCTTCCTAACAGGGGCACAGACAGCAATGAAAACCTGACAGGCGTTCCAATTCCTTTCCACTCTATCTAGAAGCTAAAAAAAGTTCTGCTTTATGAATACTTTAAAACCAGTTTTTACATTCAAGGCTTTACCTTCTACTTTGTACTTTGCCTCCATGGGGGAGATTTACTAAAAACTGGAGAGTGCAAAGTGCAGCTGTGCATGGTAGCCAATCAGATTCTAATTTCATATTGTTAAATTAAGCTTTGACCATAAAACCCAGACGCTGATTGGTTTTTATGCAGAGTTCCACCAGATTTTGTACCATGCAGTTTTAGTCCCCCCCCCCCCCCCCCCCCCCCCCCCCATGTGTCAAGCAAAGTTATAAAAAATGCTATTTATTCTCTCAATACTCTGCTGCTTCCCTCTGCCTCCCCCACTAGTGGCCGGTCCTCTTCAAGGTTGAATGACCTCCAGCATTATTCAACCACTTCCTGTGAGCCCATAATAATAAATAATAATTTGAAAGAGTCACAGCATACACTTTCTTTGACAACATCAGCACTGTAATACCAATACAAACAATAGTTATTTCTGATAATCTGAAATAAACTTACTTGAAAAACCTCTTTCTTGTTGTGAGAGTTTCCTATCTGCTGGCCATCTCTTTGGGCACTTTCCAGGATTCCCTGCATGTTTGGAATCTTCTCCCCAATTTCTAAGGACTACATATCCCAGGGTACGTTGCTACCTTCAAGCAGTGATTCCTGTATTGACTCCACCTCCTGAAACTCCTCCTCTCAGCACCTCTGTAGTTCAGAAGGCAGGCTCTATGAAATAAGTGACACATGAGTGCTACTAACAGGGCATAGTGACTACGTGTCATGGAATTCAAGGAGGTAAATGTGTAGGGGTCTTCAAAAAGTAGTTTACAAACTTCAAGGTTGTTCATAATATTAGGAGTAAGCTAGAATTAAGTGGAATAGATGATGGAAATGAATGTATGATTTTACATTTGACTGTAGATACACTTGAACTTAACCGAGTGGTTGTGAACTTATTAGGTCTAGACAAACCTCTGTGGGGTGAATTATCATGGCTGGACTCACAGTAAATCCTACATACTGTAGAATGGCCCTCACATGTCCCAAGGTCAGTGCCATTATATTTAGAACTGCAGACTGCCCACAGCCAGTGCTAGAGAAAATGAGAAAAAAGGATCCTTCTTGCCATGTAAGTGACCATAAAAGCTATTAAAGTATGTATGCTGCAATTTTTAAAACTTACATTGGGAGAGATTTGGGGAAGGGGTAGCATGAGAGCTAAATTGAAGTATGGCTTTAAAAGTAAAAAGAAATTCAAACTAAAAAAAGGAGTAGACTGGGGAGTTTACAATCTGTTGGTATTATATATTTCAGTTGTTGTTAAGAAACGTTCAAAATTGTCTTTATTGCAGAACAATCTGTCGCTGAGTATGTGCCTAATGACAATTTAAATAATGTAAAAATAAAGTAAAATAGTCAACAAGTGCAGAGCTAGTGCTAGGCTTTCTGGATTAAAAAGTCCAGCATGTTTGAAACCAAAATATCACAGAAGCAACTTGTACAAATAATATATTCGTAGAAATAAGGATGTTAACCACTTGACCTCCAGAGGATTTACCCCCCTTAATGACCAGGCCTCTTTTTGCTACTTGGCGCTGCACTAATTCAACTGATAATTGCGCGGTCATGCAATGCTGCACCCAAACAAAATTTACGTCCTTTTTTTCCACACAAATAGAGCTTTCTTTCGGTGTAATTTGATCACCTGTGCGCTTTTTATTTTTCACGCTATAAACAAAAAAAGGCCAAAAATTTTTAAGAAAAACAATATTTTTTACTTTCAGCTATAAAAAATATATAGTAAACTCAAAGTTGGTTATAAATTTAGGCCAAAATGTATTCTGCTCCATGTTTTTGGTAAAAAAAATCCCAATAAGTGTATATTGATTGCTTTGTGTGGAAGTTATAGCGTCTACAAACTATGGTATAGATACTGCAATTTACGCCATTTTTCTGCTATACAGCGCTGCGCTAGTTTAATGGACAATTGCGCGGTCATGCAATACGGTACATTAATGAAATTTACATCATTTTTTTCCCCACAAATTGAGCTTTCTTTCGGTGGTATTTGATCGCCTGTGCGGTTTTTATTTTTTGCGCTATAAAAAAAAAGGCTGACAATTTTGAGGAAAAAAAAACAATATTTTGGACTTTTTGCTATAAAACATGTCCAGTAAAAAAAAATGCAAAATTCAAATTTAGTCATAAATTTCTGCCAAAATGCATTCTGCGACATGTCTTTGCTAAAAAAAAAAACTCAATACGTGTAAATTAATTGGTTTACGTGAAAGTTATAGCGTTTACAAATGGCGGGAAAGATACTGGAATATTTAATTTTTATTTATACTAATAATGGCGGCGATCAGCAACTTTTGGCGGCAATCAGCGACATATGGCGGCAACCAGCGACTTATGGCAGGACTGCGGGACAGCGGCGGACATTTTGACACTGGGGGGGGGGGAATGACTTGGCATCACTGACATCCCCAGTGACACCAATACAGTGATCAGTGAAAAAAAACCACTGAAACTGTACTAATGTCACTGGGGAGGAAGGGGTTAATATTTTTAGAATTTGCAGTGTAAGAGGAGTGTTTTACTAGGGGGCGGGGGTGTGTACTGGACGGGGGGAGGGAGGGGGGAGCTGATCGAGGGAGAGAAACTCTGCAGCTTCTCACAAGCTGTCAGAGAACTGACACAGAACAGGGCTGTGTGTAAACAATGCAGCCCTGCTCTGTGTCAGCGATCACCGGCAATCGCGGGAAAACGGCCGGTAAAAATCGTCCGGGACCCGTCAGCTGACACCCGCTGCTGACACCCTCGGGACAGGTAGGGCGGGCGCGCACCTCGCGCGCGCCCCCTACCTGTTTTGAAGGCAGCCGTTTTAAAAACATGCTTTTGCCTACGAGCGCCACCCTGCCACCGTTTATATGCGGTGGCTGGGCGGCAAGTGGTTAAACAGGGGCCGCAGCCGAGGCCTCCTAGACCTAATACGTTCACAACCACTCAGTTAAGTTCAAGTGTATCTACAGTCAAACATAAAATCATACATTCGTTTCCATAATATATTCCACTTAATTCTAGCTTACTCTTAATATTATGAACAACCTTGAAGTTTGTAAACTACTTTTTGAAGACCCTACATATTTACCTCCTTGAATTCCGTGACACGTAGTCACTATGCCCTGTTAGTAGCACTCATGTGTCACACATTTCATGGAGCCTGAAAAAGAGAAGAAGGCGCCTCTAAGTGCAGTATTAACAATTTATTAGTAGACAATGGAAAATTTGCACTTACAAGATAAACGGTTAAAAAGACTCATCATGTGGTAATTGGATCCAGGTGGGACATCCAGCCGTCCAGCAGCAAGCTATGCCTATAGGATCAGGAAGTAGAGTTCAGGAGGTGCTTGTGCATCAAAAATGAAGCTTGGAGAGCAGAGTCAGATGTAGCAGGTGAAAGGGGTGGTAATGCATTTTGGAGCCTTCAGACCTCTGAAGAAGGAGCCTATTGAGCATACTCCGAAATGCATTACCACCCCTTTCACCTGCTACATCTGACTCTGCTCTCCAAGCTTCATTTTTGATGCACAGGCACCTCCTGGACTCTACTTCCTGATCCTATAGGCATAGTTTTCTGCTGGATGGCTGGATGTCCCACCTGGATCCAATTACCACACGATGAGTCTTTTTAACCGTTTATCTTGTAAGTGCAAATTTTCCATTGTCTGCTAATAAATTGCCAATACTGCACTTAGAGGCGCCTTCCTCTCTTTTTCTTGTTACTGCATTAGAGCCTTGCTTCCACTCTAAGAAGAGCTGCCTCAGTGTTACTGATCCCATCCATCCATCTATCCCTGATATCCATCTGGCACCTTTATCTTACAGCTACAGAGGTTGGGCTCCAACAAGCGTGCCGTATATAATATACATTTCATGGAGCCTGCCTTCTGAACTACAGAGGTGTTGAGAGGAGGAGTTTCAGGAGGCGGAGTCAATACAGGAATCACTGCTTGAAGGTAGCAACGTACCCTGGGATATGTAGTCCTTAAAAATTGGGGAGAAGATTCCAAACATGCAGGGAATCCTGGAAAGTTCCCAAAGAGATGGCCAACAGATAGGAAACTCTCACAACAAGAAAGAGGTTTTTCAAGTAAGTTTATTTCAGATTATCAGAAATAACTATTGTTTGTATTGGTATTACAGTGCTGATGTTGTCGAAGAAAGTGTATGCTGTGACCCTTTCAAATCACCTAGTCTGTTGATAAGGCTGCTGACATGGGCAGTAACTGTCAAACTTCAGGTGCTCTCTGACCCCTGACTTTCATGTTGAAAATTGTACACACTGTAGAAATAAAGATATTAAATAGGGGCTGTAGTTGAGACCCTCCAAAATTTGTAAGTTGACAACCACTCAGACGTGGGTTCAGGCTGTTTTATAGCAGAAAGTAAAAAAAAATTGTTTGCTTTTCCAAATTTTTGGTCTTTTTTTACGTTTATAGTACATAAAATAAAAAAAAAAAACCCAGTGATGATCAAATACCACCAAAGAAAGCTCTGTGGGGAAAAATTATATCATTTTTATTTGTGTACAG